GCAAAAAAAGGAAACACCGTACAGATGGCTATTCCCGGAAGGGTTCAGTTTTAATTACCAGGATAAAAAAATATAAAATTGACTCTGTTCCGAAAGCAGAAAGATTTATGGATCAAATGTTTAATGTAAAAAAGAAGCAGAAGGAAAAGAATTTAAAACTGGATGTGGAGGAAGAAGAAGAAGAGGAGTCCTACTCACAGGACTCAAGAAGCCAAACTTCCTCGTCCTCAGAATCATCTGAATCGGAGAAAGGAGAGGCCGCTCCTGAACTGCAGAAAACGAAGATATCTAAGAAGAAAAGACTCTTAAACTAAAGCATGAGTGCCAAGGGCAGTAATTGTGCCAAGCTAATAACTTTATATTTTTATAATCGAACTAATCTCTGTATAACCTGTACTAATAGGTTAAAAATCTATTCTTTTAGCTTTTCAGATCGTGATTTGTATTAGTCTTTACCCTATCCCCATATCCAGTAGGAGATTTAGAATAGAATGGTAGTTTTCCTTCCCCTATCCAGTAGACTATATGTATCTAGATTTCCCTGACCCATTTCCCATAGTAATAGTGATAGGGCATTAGTATTCCTTTCCCCATTCCATATTTGTAGTGTATAGAAAATGCAAAAATAAAAAAAATTCCCCTTTTGGGGGGTCAAAAAAGAAAGAAAGAAAATACCTGGAGACTTTAGGGGTGGATCTGGGGGACGGTGGGGTTTGGGGAGGGGAGAGGCCTAGCATGGTACAATGCCATAGAGTCCACCCTTCAGAGCAGCCATTTTCTCCAGGGGAGCTGATCACTATCAGTTGGAGATTAGTTGCAAAAGCGGGCGATCCCCAGGCCCCACCGGGAGGCTGGCAACCCTAGGTTGGGGGGTCTCTGTATCCCCACATCTGTATTTGGTTTGCATTGGCTGCCACATGAAAGGTTGTGTTTAGTTAGAAACACAAGTGAAGTTCAGACCTCTCCACAGCAGCGGCCCCACCGGGAGGCTGGCAACCCTAGGTTGGGGGGTCTCTGTATCCCCACATCTGTATTTGGTTTGCATTGGCTGCCACATGAAAGGTTGTGTTTAGTTAGAAACACAAGTGAAGTTCAGACCTCTCCACAGCAGCTGCTTTGAGATGTCATTACCGTGAGCTCAACTGGTCTCACCTATTAGATCCTGCTTTGTTGCTGGAAGATGCAGTTGCAAGAAATGCAGGAGTCGTTTCGTAGACAAAGAGCTAGGGGAACTCATTAGCATAACTCATTAGCATATGCCACACCCCCTGATATCACTGGAAGTGTGTCATAAGGCCACACACCCCGCCCCCAACGGTCCCGGCCGCCGCCGCCGGCCTTGCAGGTCCACTGCCGAGCCCCATGAGGGGCCCGGCGGTGGACCTGCAAGGCCGGCGGGAGTGCAAGGAAGCCCCGCAAAGGCCCTCCCTGGCCCCAGGCAGGCAGGGGTGGGGAGAGGCAGGGAGGAAGCAACTTACCCTCCCTCTTCTCCTGCCTCCTCCTGGCTGAATGAGGGCCGGAAGCGGGGCGGCCGGAAGCAGGGGGCGGGGCTTCGTTGTGTGCCCCGCCCCCCCGTACCTCACCCGGGGGAACTGCGATCCCCTGCGATCCCCCCCGAAATGACCTCTGAAGAAATGCATTTATTTTCTACATTTAGTGTGGGAATTGGCTCCCTACCTAGACTCTGCCAAGCTGGCCATGCTGACTGAGGCCTCCACAACCTGAAGCCTGGACTCAACTGTTCTAACGTGCACTCTCTGGGACTTTGAAGGCTTCTGTTGGTATAGCTTCGGTTGTTACGGAACACAGCTGCTTGCTTGCTTGCTAACTACATCTAAGAGGTTCAATCATATTGCCCCTGTTTTGTGTAATTTACATTGGCTGTCTATTTGCTTCGAGGTCCGGTTCAAGGTATTGTTCTTCCTGACAAAAGCCCTGCCTGGGACCCAGATCCCTGAAGGTCCACCTCTCCCAGTACAAACCCATTCACCAACTTGGGTCTTCACAGTGTTTTCTCCCTACAGGAAATCTATTAGATTTGCCAGCAGCTCAAGCACGTTCTCTCTCGGCCACAGCTCCTTGGAAGTTTCGCCCATAAAAGGTCAGGAGGATTCCTGCGCTGGCACAGTTCCAGAGGAACTGCAAAGCCTTCTTATTTAAGGAGGCTTTGGGAAGTCGTTTCTGAATTAGAAACAGTGTTGTACGTGGGACACGGGAGAACAGGAGTTGGTCAGGGAGCAACAGCGCCAAGGCAAAGTCATTCTATGCTGGGCCCAGATTTTGGTAGATTTTGGCCTTCGCTTCTGATGCCTTCAGGGCAGGGGGAGCGAACTCTTAATTCTGCCATGACTAGACCCCCACCCCACCCCAACCTTCAGCAGCATCGCTAATTTCCGGTTTGAAAGCATTCAAGAAATTCAAAGCGAACAAACATCACGTTATTCCTTTGGCTTCAGTGGCATTTTTGTACTGTAAACGGATTTAAGGGTGGATGTTTTGAGTATAACTACGCCTATGGATATTTTTCTGGCAGGGAAGGTGGCGTGGTATAGCCGATCTTGTCAGATCTCAGAAGCTAAGCAGGATCGGTACTTGGAAGGGAGACCACCACCGAAGACTCTGCAGAGGAAAGCAATGGCAAACCACCTCTGCTTCTCACTTGCCTTGGAAGCCCCTTGCTGGGGTCGCCATCAGTCAGCTGTGACTTGATGGCGCTTCACACATGCGCTCATGGACGTTTTCTATGCATGATCTGTGACCAGCATTAACTCAACTCTGCTAAACTGTTGCACCCGAATTTTCAAAGTGATGCTAATTTCTCTCTCCCCCCCCCCCCCCCAAGCCAGGAGAAATAACAACATTCGAAACAAAACCAAAAGAAAATTGCTTACCAGTTCAGCATCCTGCTGGCTGATATCCTGGAGATAGGGGATGGTTGCGAGCTCAGCCATGGCTTGATTAATCAGTTGGGACTGCTCCTTGAAGCGCTGCAAGCGCCCGAGGAGGCTGGCGTGCTGCAGTTTTTCTATCATGCCCGAACATGCACAGAAAGTCTCCTGGGTTTGGAACGGAAAGCAAACGGGTTAGGCAGATGCCATGGGATGGTGCTGGGGGTTGCCTTGCCATCCTCCAGGTGGTGGGTGGAGACCTCCTGGGGCTACAACTGATCTCCAGGGGACAGAGATCAGCCCCCCTGGAGAAAACGCCTGCTTTGGAAGGTGGACTCGATAACATTCTAGCCCATCGAAGTCCTTCCCCGCCCCAAGCCTCACTCCCCCAGGCTCCACCCCCCCCAAACCTCCCGGTATTTCCCAACCTGGAGCTGGCAACCCTCGATGGTGCCCACCAGTGCTCCCTCTAAGCTGTGGGGTCTTGGGAGCAACATTTCTACTTTGTGAGCGACTGGCATTAAAGTTGGGAGCGAGCGATTTGGCTGTTGCATGCGTTAGTTTGCTCTGGAGCCATCCTTCCTGAGCTAAGACAAAAATGTGTGAGCCGGAGGCTAAAAAACTGTGAGCTAGCTCACACTAACTCAGCTTAGAGGGAACACTGGTGCCCGTCTTCCCCCCCTCCCTGAGAGCTGAAACTGCACCTTATCACCCCATGTTTGCACTTCTAATACCAGGCCCAGGAAACTCTACGATAATGCTGCTGTCATGGAGGACATCCTTTAATCATTCCTTCTAGCATGAGCAACAACAATAAAAAAGCCACAGTGTTCAAAGCAGATACGCAAGTGTGAGGAGATAGCTAAGAAGAATGTAATTTTTCTTCCCGCTGTCGAGGTTTTCCATAATCCTCTTTTTTTAAAAATGCTTTGGCCGTTTCAGTGAAATGTTAGGGATGGAAAAAAAAAATCCCTGTAATACATAAATCTCTACAACGGGTTTGTAGTCAACGTGAATCCGTAGCACTGAACAGTAACCTTGATAATGCAGGCAAGCTGTGGGATTTGAACCTGAAAAACGTATAGGGACAGGCTTAAAGCGAGCAACTGTGACTCTGATGATGTTCATGGGTCTGGTTGCCTGCCTCAGATGAGATCTCTTGTTTACGTGTTCAGCTAGCCAAAAAACGGCAGCTCCTGAACTCGGCTTGGCTTCTCCTTTTGTTCGCCCTTTCAAAGGAATTTGTCGGAGGCTGAAGTGAGAAGAAAGAACGGCAGGGCTTTCTGGCAGGTGTAGAGCTCCTCCGCTCGCTGCTTTCATCCCAGGTTAAGTAGCTGGGTAAACAAAATTGGTTGCTTTTTTGTGTGTAGCATTGTTATACTTGGGAAGTGGAGTCCAGAAGAAAATACAATGACCCATGATTGACCCAAGACAGTCAGTCAGGAAGCAAGGTGCCCTAATGCCTGGCATCCTCTAGTTTGTGTACCTAAGGATGACCCTGAAATAACTACTGGTAGGTCAGGCAGCTCAATGGGGAGGGGGGGAAGGAAGGAGAAGAGCCACATGGGTTTATGGCTTGCTTTAATACACTGTCACTCTTATTAGGGAAGAATCTGTCTCTGAAACCTGCTGATGGCTTTAGTATATATACCATAACACAAGTATGTCAAAATTCTGGGACAGTAACTTGGGTTTTTCCTCACTGATCTTCTTCTCTGTTTCACACTCTTGACTTTTTCTGTTTCACAGAAGCCTGTAGACAGGTACTCTCTTATTTTTTAAAATTTTATGCCGTGCCTAGCAGTATCAGGAATCATCATCGTTACCACCACCACCATCATCACCACCACCACTGTTATTAGCAGGGGTCATTTCCTGCAGGAGCGCACAGGAGCGGAGCTCCGGCAGTAAAGAGCCCAGGGGGCGGGCACATGCAACAAGCCCCACCCCCTGCTCCCAGCAGCCCTCAGTCAGAGCAAGAAGCAGCCAGGTAAGCTGCAGAGCGCCCCCCCGACCCCCCAGCCCAAAACAGTCCAGTGGCACCTTTAAGACCAAGTTTTATTCAGGTACAAGCTCTCCTTTCTCTGTGAGAATAGATCTGCACGTTTCCCCCCCCCCAATAGCTAGCAATCCAAAACAGTCCAGTGGAGCCTGAGTAGTGGGTGTTGCCTTCTGACACACTTCTAGTGATGTCAGGGTGTGTGGCATATGCAAATGAGTTATGCTAATGAGTTATGCTAATGAACTCCTGCACCCCTTTTTCTATGAAATGACCCCTGGTTATTAGTATTATTTAGTAGTAGTGGTAGTACTAGTAGTAGTGGTGGTGGTGGTGGAGGGATGTCGGCAGGGTATGGCCCAATCTCATCAGATCTTAGAAGCTAAGCAGGGCAGGGAGACCACAAAGCCATAACTACCTAGCTTTGCACCTGGGGCAAGAATACAACATTGCGCCGCCACCCCCCCATGCTTTCATAGTAGTTATTTTAGTAAAAAAGGTAAATATATAAATAACAAGAGTAATAACAACACGACGTTTATTTTAGTCATGATATACTTTTTCTGTAACCCTCAGCTTTGTGCTGCCCTTGCTTCACCCTTTTGACAGCTCTGGGAGACCAGCAAGGAAGGCCCTACAGAGGAAAGCAATGGCCAGCCACCTCTGCCTCTCACTTGCCTTGGAAGCGCCTTGCTGGGGCCACCATAAGTCTGCCTAACAGCACTTTACACACACACAGTAGTGTGTGAGAGCCAGTTTGGTGTTGAGAGCCAGTTTGGTGTTGAGAGCCAGTTTGGTGTAGTGGTTAAGTGGGTGGACTCTTATCTGGGAGAACTGGGTTTGATTCCCCACTCCTCCACTTGCACCTGTTGGATGACCTTGGGCAAGCCATAGTTCTGTCAGAGCTGTTCTCTCAAGGACAGTTCTGGAAAGAGCTCTCTCAGCCCCACCTACCTCACAGACAATGTTCCCTCTAAGCTGTGGAGTCTTATGAGCAAAAATTCAATTTTGTGAGCTACTGGCATTAAAGTTGTGAGCGAGCGATTTGGCTGCTGCATAAGTTCGTTTGCTTTGGAGCCATCCTTTCTGAGCTAAGACAAAAATGTGTAAGCCGGAGGTTAAAAAACCGTGAGCTAGCTCACACTAACTCAGCTTAGAGGGAACATTGCTCACAGGGTGTCTGTTGTGGGGAGGGGAAGGGAAAGGAGTTTGTAAACCACTCTGAGACTCCAAGTGAAGGGTGGGGTATAAATCCAATCTCCTCCTCTAGTAGTAATAGCATAATGTAATATGACGTAGTACCTGTGCCAAGGTTTGTCATCGGCCTGGTGAAAAAGGGAAGGGAGAATTGGGGATTCTCCACCATTGTTAACTGCATATTAACTTTCTGACTCTGTTCCACATTTTGTGGTGCCTAACCTAAGTATGACACTGAAAGAATATCTTTTGAAAGATTTTTTTTAAAAAAAAGGGTTTCTCAAAATAGTGCCGTATGCAAACAGTGTGCTGCTAAGCCAAGTTACCCTCATCCATTGAAATCAATGGGCTTAGAAGGGTGTCACTTTGCCTAGGATTGCACTCTTGGTAATGAAGGAGTGGCACTGCTGGATCAGACCAAAGGCTGCACTCAGGGTTCATTTTGTAGAAAAAGAGGTGCAGGAGCTCATTAGAATAACTCATTAGCATAACTTATTTGCATATGCCACACCCCCTGACATCACCGGAAGTGTTTCAGAAGGCAACACCCACCGCTCAGGCTCCACTGGACTGTTTTGGATTGCTAGCTATTGGGGGGGGGGGAACGTGCAGATCTGACCTTGCAGAGGAGGGAGAGCTTGTACCTGAATAAAGCTTAGTCTTAAAGGTGCCACTGGACTGTTTTGGATTGCTAGCTATGGGGGGGGAGGACGCGCAGATCTGCCCTCACAGAGGAGGGAGAGCTTGTACCTGAAGGCGGGCCGGGGCTCTGCAACTTTCCTGGCTGCTTCTTGCTCCTCCAGGCCCGACTGAGGGCTGCTGGGAGCAGGGGGTGGGGCTTGTTGCATGTGCCCACCCCTTGGGCTCCTTACTGCCGGAGCTCCGCTCCTGTGCGCTCCCACAGCAAATGACCCCTGGCTGCACTAAATGTGATGACCAAGCATGAGTATCGTATTTCTGAAGTCTACCTCACAGAAAAAGTTCTTTGCGTGTAGTTAAGGATCACATTAGGTGGAGGGCCACACAGATCCTTTCTTTCCAATGCGCTCATTTACTAAATGCAGGGAACTTTTACAGAGTTGGTATCGGATTTGGCTATTGCTCAACAGAATGGCAGCATTTACCTCACACTCGCCAATGAATTAGCTACTCGACAGAGCTCCTGACATAATTAAAACAAGGAATATATCCATAACAGTGAAAAAAGACCGACACATTCAAAATGCAATAATATAATTGGCATCAGCATGAAAAGATCTAAAAAGACAAACTAGGGTTTCCAACCGCCAGGTGGTGGCTGGAGATCTCCTGCTATTACAACTGATCTCAACGCAACAGAGATCAGTTCACTTGAAGAAAATGGCTGCCTTGGAAGGTGGACTTTATGGCATTATAACCCATTAAAGCCCCTCCACTTCCCAAACCCCACTTTCCTCAGGCCCCACCCCCAAAATCTCCAGGTATTTCCCAACCCAAAGTTGGCAACCCTAAGAACAACCCTTTAAATGGATTCAGAGCAGCAGAACTACAACAGTCAAGGGGGAGGATGGAATAAAAAAAAAGCAAAAAAAAAAAAAAGAAGGCTGCCTTTATCCCATGCTAGAAGTGAAGGGCAATGAGGAGGAAGTTCTGCAGTCATGGTGCCGCAACAGAAAAGGCCCCGTCTCTAGTGGCCACACAAAGCAGGACCTCTCAGGTGCTGGCAGGTTTATAAAGGGAGCAGGTGGTGTTTTAATATAAGCCTACAGTGCTGCCAGAAAGTAAAGGAAGAAATCACCTCAAGTCTAATTCTTATCTTTAAGAAGAAGGGATTATAGCAGGTTGAACGCTGTCAGGGGTTGTGTTTCAGTGGCAGAGGAAAAAAATGCAGAAAGAGAGTGTAAATAACTGCTTCTGGCAGCAATAAGAGCCCACAGGGATGTGAAACGCCATGATGAGAATTACCTGAGCTACGGTGGAGTTCAAGAGGCTA